TTCGCTCGCGCGCGTTGGCGTGATTGACCGACGGCTCAAAAGCAACTGCGACTTGCGTGTCGCATGCGAGTCCATTGTATATAGCAGGCGGCGACCATGCCTACCACGCGATGAGTTTGTTCAAGATCATGCTGCTGGCTATTGTGTGCCCCTCTCTCGACAAAGAGACGAAAACATACAAACGGATAAACGCTCGCGTAAATAGCCGCTCGGCAATTAGCGCCGTACGAACAATGCCCGTCATAGAAATCCGACGATCGGCTTGTTTTTTTTAATTAATTGCCGACTCATTTTCGCGAGGATAGGTGCGCGTGCGCCGCGCGTTGCTGTTCATTTCTTTCTTTTTCGCTATGTAAAAGAGACGATTGCGCAATGAGCTTATTGTGCGCGGCAGCAGAGATTCCCCCAATGCCAATTACGTAAAGCGCGTGTTTGTTCTTCCTGCGCTGCGCTGTAATCGAGCTCGTTGAAAAACAAACACGCGACAAAACGATTCGTCAACCTTGGGAGCGGGAGCGTCGGTGCGTCCGCGCGCAAAACTTTGTCCCGTCCGAGCTTGGCAAGCAGCTATTTTTGAGAGGCGCGCGCGCCGAGGGGTCGAGAGGGAGAGAGGGGGAGAAAGAGAGCACGTATGCCGGAAACGGGAAAAGTTGCTTGCGAGCGTACGCCCGAAGGCGGCGGAGCGAGAGCGGGCTTTTTCGAATGAAGCTCGGCAGCCTTTTACCCAAGGCGTCGCCTCCATTGCCCTTTATTGCACTTGTTTGGCTTTCTCCCTCCCTGCTTTTATTAATGGGACACGTCGCCGGTGTTTCCTTTGGCTTTCTTCGCCTCTCGCGCGCTTGGCACTTGCAGATTATGCTAATGGACTTTTTGTATTTTCGCTCTCTCTGAGCTCTTGCATTCAAATTGCTCGATTTCCTCCGGCCCAGAGACACCGGCAAAATTCATTGCGAGCTTTGATTAATGTCCTCTTTCGATTCATGATCGTGCTCCAATGTCGAGCTTCAAGACCATTTGGCGATTGTCAACGCCGACGGCAAACGCGCAAGAAATCAACGGAGAGAAGAATAGGAGGGACGAAGATTTTTGAGCTCGCGCCAATCTGGTCGACCCACTCGGCTCAAATCGGCAGCAGTTTTAGCAGGCGACGATCCCCCAAGGAGGACAGCCAGACACGTCACTGGGCGAACTGGTCGCAGGCAGCGGCGGAGGGATGTCGCTTAAAAATAACAAGTGCCAAGCACACTGCAGCAGCAACCTTATCAGCTAAGCACACGAGGAGGAGCCCGGGCGAACGAGATAAAAGAAATAAGGTTGAAAATGAGAACTGTATGGGCACACAGAGGCCCATAAACGAAGTTAGAGCGCTGCTCGTTGCTTCGGATTGCATGGGTACACGTGCGCGGAAGCTGCTCAGCCTTTCGTGTGCTAACCCAGGCCGTAGGTCCTAATGAAGGCACGCGCGCCTTCGTCGTTTCCGACGCTCATTTTCTTCCGGCGTCGACGCAGTTTAATTAAGCAAAAGCTCGCAGTGTGTTTTGCCGGGGTTGGCTGGCCTCCGCCTTTACAATTCAGCCGCCGCTGCCGCCTGTCATTTTTGCTGGGCCGTCGAGCTTCTCGACCTCGTGCCTCGCCGTCGTGTTTGTTTGGTTAATTAAAACGGCCGGCCGGCCGAAAACCCAACGGTTAATCGTCGCTCGGGATGTTCACGGCCGACTGAGCTTCTCTCGCGCGACAGATTTTCTACCGCGCGCCGAAGAATAATGTTCATCGTCCCCCTCCCCCTCCGTTCGCTTCTCTCTCGCTCGTTCGTTCTCTGGGCCTTTTCAACCAATGTCTGCAGGGTTTCCGAAACTCAATTAAAATACGGCTGCGCGAATTGATGCGGCTTTCCGGCTTGCTGGTCGACGCCGCTCCGCAACGGATTTCACAAGGCGGGCGATCGACAGCGCGCGATCCAAATGAGCGTGCAGCGACGAAATTAATGCGCGCGCCCTCGAGCCAGCACGTCTGCGCCTCTTTTGCCTTTTACGGCTAGACTACTTCCGCTCGCTGCCCTCTGCTCTATTTGCAAGCGCGAGAAGGGCCATTACCCGCGCGTGTCTCGCAGTTTTTGTCGCTGCCGCGCTTGCCCGCCGATGACTGAAGACTCGGCAACTTTTGCCCTGGCAATGAAGCTTTGACGTTCGGCAAATGATGGAGTAGCCACTAATGACCATTGTCCGATGAAATTTACCAAACGTTTGTTTACCATAACTTTAAAACTTGGCACATATCCCTTGCGCAGATTGCTAAATCGAAGATCGTTCGTCAACGTCCACCGGGCGACAAACTTTTGCTCTTTCGGACCGACGGCCAAAAGTTCTTTGGTGCAAAGGAATAGCCGACAACAATCGCTCGGACGTCATAATTTTTTTCCTCCCCGTATCTGGCCAAAAATCTAGGTCGCAAGTTTCCCTCGCGCAAATAACGCCTGGCTGTACTCGCGCGAGCACCCTGCTACTGTTGTTGTTCAGCGAGAAAACTTCCGGCCTGTTTTTCTCGCTCGTTGTTGATTTATCGATTACAGTTGCAGAAAAATAGCTTGCCATTTGTTTCCATCTCGTCGATCCGTGGAATATGATGCGCTTCGTTAGCGGTGCCACGGCAAAAGAAGGGAGTTTTTTCGACGCGTACGAACTCTCTCGTTCTCGCCTTCACGTTCAAAAAAAAAACATAGTAATAGTAATAATAATAACAGTAATAAACGGAAGGAGAAAAATTCACCGATAAAACTGTCGCGTCAAGAAAGAACAACAGTGTACTGATTAACCCCAACTGCAAAGCTGATGATTTACGCAGTCGACAAAGAAAAAAAGAGAGAGAGCTTCGTCAGACTGAAACTGACAACAACGAAAAAGAAGAAAAAAGAAAAAAGAGGGCGGGGGGGGCGAAGATAAGACGCCTTCTCGTGCAATTTTATTACTCCCGACGGCGGTGGCGGCGAGGCACGAGGATGAATTTCCACGGGAGGAGTCTGGCATCCATAAAACAAAGGCGGCTGGCGCGGTGGCGGAATGCAAAAAGCAGCCGCGCCGCCGGACGAAATGAGACACGGTAAAGAAAGAGAAGGAACGAAAAAATGAAGAATAGCCCGGCCGGGAGAATATGTTTCGCGATGCAACGCTCCGAGTAATACACCCTCCCCCCTCCCCCCACTACCCTTTTAGCGTGTCCTGCTTTTATATTTGCTTACATACCCTCTGCTGTTTTTTCTCGGTAGCACTGCGATGTGCTTGGCATATCAGAGCAATGATGTTTTATTTACTAATCAAGCCTGCGATTTACTTTGCGTAATTCTTTATTAATGTCAGATAAAGATCTATGTTCGGACGCAAATTTATGATTTTCATGCGCACGTCACTTTGTAAAAGTGATGTCTTTGTGCGAAAAATTGAAATTCGCATTGCGTCTATTTCAATTGATCCCCACTCTTTGAAATTCTAGACGTATTCTAGAAAAAGCTAACTGAAAAATTGTTTTAATAATCAATATCGCTAATTTTACATCCCACTTGTTTTCTTGACTGTTATATACCTGAAATGGATTTTTTGCACATGAATATGACATTAAAGATGTTTTTTAAAATTGAAAGTCAGGTATCCGAAAAAACGGTATTCTAGTATTTAAATATTATTAGAAAATTGAAAAGCTGCAAAATCAATGTGGAATGGAAGAGGATTTTTAGCTGAATAAACGCAGGTTCGAATCTGATTTTTGCTCGCAATAAAAAATCTGAGAAAATTGTTCGTCGAGATGGTAATAATTCTATTTGGATTTGTCATAAGTGGAAGTGATTGGGCTGTCCAATAAAATAATTGATTACCCGACCGAAATCTGGTATAAAAGCAACTTAAGAAACAATAAAAAAGAATCGGATTAAATGGACGATAAAGAGCTATTGAATGTGAAAAATGTTTATAGCACGGGAGGTTTTTCGATAGTAAACGCTGACTGCGTATATCGATATAAAAGAATGAAAAAGAGGCAGGCAGAGGGACACATAACAATGGTTCAATAGCTGTACGCGCGGCGCTGCGGAGGTGGGGCGCCGATAAAATTTTGATGAGCGCGCGTTGTTGCAGGCCTTATCAAGCTTTCGATATCGCCGACGCGCGCGCGCCGGTAATCACCGACGTGAATTATATTTAATAAACTGGCGGGCGCGCGGACCGAGCCCAAGCTTTATCGCTCGACTACGCGCCTATTAATTTTTTTTTTCGGGCAGATCCTCCCCTGGCCCTCATTATTTTTACGCCGATGTGCTCGGTAATTGTGCGCTAAGCGCCAGCGCGTAGGCAAATCCGTTGCGTACTCGCCACGCCAACGAAGAACGAAGCGTCGGCAAGATCGTCTCTCATTTTATTAGTCTTCGTGTGGGCTGCGCAATTATGCGTAAATCCACGAGCGCCAGTCAGTCAGTGTTCCCTCGGCATTCGTAAATGCAGCTTCGCGCGCATATTTACGGGCACACTCGTTCTAATTTTATCGCGGCAACTTTATTAGAACCGCGAGAGTGAGACTGCGCCACGCTCGGTTATATTTATGGCATCGAATTCATAAATGCTTCTACGCTGGCGCTCGCTGAATACAACGGATTTTACGGTCGGCGCAGTAAACTTTTTCCGAACTAAATGGAAAATTTAGTTCGGAGATACTCGTTACCGCGACATTCCTCGATTGAATTTTCAAATATTTATTCGTCGAGTCGCGCGCGCCATAATTATCAAACAATCACGTGTCGGTGCATTCATTAGCGCGCGCGGCGCAGGCGTTCATTACCATGCGAGTCGCGCCTTATTACACTTGATTTCGCAACGGGTAGCAAAGAAAAGGAACAAGAGGAAAAATGCGGCGCCGCTCTCACGCGCGTCCATTGTGCGCATGCCCTTTTTCGTCGCTGATAATTACGCGCGAGCGGAGAAAAGGACGCGCGGCACTCCGCTGCGAGGTGAACGCGCGCGCGCGCGCGCGCGCAAGGCAAGCCGAGACAGCTGGGTGCCGTTGCTCCAAGTGTCTCGTTTCGAGCAACGATTTTTCGATGGTAAGCGGGCCCGAAAACAAAATAAATCCTCGCGCGACTATTGAAACTCGCGCATAGTTGGAGGCGCGCGCAACTTCGTTCATTAATATTTGAAAGAGGCTTCTCGAAGTTGCCCGCGCGCTCGTAACGCGCTCGTAAGTGTTGGAAGCAGCAGGGAAAGGCCTATAAATCTGGAGCACGCGAGCGCGAGGCGGCAGCCATGCAGAATAGCCGGCGCGGCTGGAAAACGCGAACAAAGGAAAGCCGTAAGAGGCGCGCGGCGGGGAGGGAGTCGGGTGGAAACTCGAGCAAAGACACGCACACGCGCGAGCGGCAAAAACGAAGTCAAGGAGCCAAGGAGAGGCGAGCAGAAAAACAAGGGCCAGCGCTGCGCGCGCGCGCGCGCAATTAAACCGCATCAAACCGCTTTCTCTTTGTCCTCCGCGGAGCATCGATGCCGTACGAACGTCGGCTTTGACAACAAGAAAATTAAATAAGTTATAGCCAAGCCCTTTCCCTACCCGTTAATCAATGGCCACGACGGACAGAGAAAAACAGTCGAGTGGAGCGAGCGAGAGAGAGACAGACAGAGAAAAGTTACGAGGCTGTTTACAGGCGCTGTTAAAGCGATCTAACTCATGGCCGGCCAATGCACCCGTCGCCAGTGCAACTAACCCGCCGCGACGCGCGCCAAGCAGATCGGTTTCTTTCTCTCTCTCTCTCTCTCTCTCTCTCTTCGCGAGCCGCGACTCGACGACTTTTTCGCTTCCTCTGCCAAGCTTCCCGCAGCTGCGCGATTTTGCACTGTACTCTCCGTTGCCGCGCGCCGAATTACTATACTTTTCGCATGCAACGGTCTTGCATGTATGAGATCACCTCGTGGTATTATTCTCCAATAGCTAATTTTGTAACGACGACACAGCAGCTCCGGCTTGATCTGGCTGATCTAATAATCGCTGAATAATGCACGCGCGGCTTGAATGTATTCGACCTTCTGTTCTCTCTCTCTTTTTTTGCGCGCGTCACACTAGCCTCGTAATTCTTTAGCTCCTCGCGCAGCGGTCAAATTCACACTTCGACCTAGTTATGCGTGTATATGCGTCGTCGAGTGTCTCTATCGCGCGGTCGGCATACTACGCAGGTGTTATGCCTTCCAAAGAGCATTGAGCTTTCGCAGAACAAACAAATGCGAGTGGGAATCTTTCGGTGAATCAGTGCAATCGGTGGTCCATTCGCTGTGCTTCTTTCAGCATTGGATTTTTAGATTTTTGTCCGTGCAAACATTTTAAATCGATACTTATTTGTAGTAAGCAAATGTCAAGGCCGATTTTTCTTCGTTATCACATTTTTGGTTTGTATTCCAACGATGCGAGCTTGTTTGATTCTTTTAACGGGAAAAGTTGTAAGCGAACCTCTCGTACCGCCAAAAGCACCGCAAGGGGGCTAAATGTACTATAAGATTTTCTTTGAAACTCATTTCTAACTTGTACCGAATTATAATTTTATTATGAAAACTATGACCTTCGCTGCGTTTTGAATATCTTAATGAAACTAGAAAATTGAGACTTTCGGAAGCTTACTCTTTGATTGACAAAGACCCAGATGATGAAAACAATAAGAAGCAGAGAATTTGGACTGGAAAGCCCAGCTCAAGGAAAGATCGTTAAATTAAAAAAGTTGAAATGAACATAGGAACGCAGCTGCAAGAGTAAGAGAAAGAAGAGAAAGGAAAAACTTGTTTCACTCGGCGCAATGTTAAGGAATCAGCGGTTGGTTTTCCCTTTGATCTGAAATCAGCTCTCTCCCACGAAGCATAAGAAGAGGAGCGAGCGTAGCGTGTCTCGAGAGTAAAAGGATGTGAAATCAGAACAGACAAGAAGCAGCTTTCAATAAGCTCGCTTTCTTCTTCTGGTAAAGGCAAAAGTGCTCTTTATTCCTTCCATCAAACCTGCGTTCCGCGGTCCATTCGTCTTATGAAGCATTTTAATAATTAAAAGCTCCTCCGGCCAAGACGAGAAAAAAGGAGCTTGCTCGCTTAAACAGGTATTTCTTCCGTTCGCTCGGTAGCAATGCTTGATTTACGGATTTCCATCCCCGAGAGGAAACGTTTCCTTTTGTTCGAGCTTCCTTGGCCATTGTCTGGTGTCCGTTCGCGACGGCGATCACCGTTGCGCGCGCGACGAGGGGACTGGTCGTTCGCCGGACGAGCGCCGAGCTGCGGAAGGAAATTCGCGAGTCGCGGAGGGCCAGATGATACTAGAGGAAAGGCGCGCCGGAAGAGGCGGCTTTCCGCCTCACTTTCATCAATCGCTTTACACCACAGCTCTCGCTCGGTGTGTAGGCGAGCGAGAATTCGCGCGAAAGCTGTCTCTTTGTTCCCAGCCGCAGGTGCAGCGGGCATTCTCAAGCTCTCCGATGCGAGCTTTCAACTTGCTAAATCAATTACGGCCAACTGCTTCTGCCGAGAGAAATGGCTAAATGTATATTAATGCCCGGATGGAAATTTAGCGACGGTGCGAGGCATCGCAAATCTTGGGGCGAGGGAGAGACGCCTCGAACAAGTAATCAACGTGTCAAAGTGCTTGTCAGGTCGGCCATCGTAATCAACTGGCCATTTTTCGCGCGCCCCTCGTGTCGTCTTCGTACAGCAGGCGGTAGCAGTGATCCCTCGTTACTTGGAAACTGAGCATAGCTGGCGTGTTCTTTGTCGGCGGCGGCGGCGGCAGCGGCGGTGGCGCATCCGGTGTTCCCTGGAGCAAAGGGTAGAGGAGAGATCTCGGGGAGCTTCCGAGTCCCAGGCGTCGATTCGCTTACGTATGTATGGAGAAACGGGGGAGGGGGCCAATATAGTTAACCAAACTTGCTGCGGCATAAACGCGACAAGTTACCGAGTGGCTGCTTTATGCAGAAAGCGAGACTTGTCCCTTTGCCTCGGCTTCGCTAACAGGCTAACTCTCCGCCGTCTTTAGGCTATATCTTGAGAGATTCTCGCTCGCTCCTTGCCAAAGATGCATATCTGGGATGCGCGCCCCGGCAGCAGCCTGGCGCTGGCCAATTTTCGCCGATCTCTGATCAAACTTTCCAACCGAGTTCGGCTGCACGTGTGCTTTGATCGGCGATCGCCCTCCGGGCTATGATACAAAGGCACGAGGAAAATGGCCTAGTTGTCGGAGCAGTTGGCGCAGAGCAGTATGCATTACCGTCATTTGAATTTACTTGGCGGCGGGAGGGGGGAGGGGGAGGGTCTCGGCGCACGTTACACGTAGCCAAGCCGCGGGCCGAAGACGTGACCTTGCAAAGACACGCGCGCACACGTACGAGAGCTCGCAGCCGAGAGCAACTTGTCGCTGAATTAGCGAGTAATTTTACGTGCGGTATCCCTTATCCCGCGCCGGCGCACGGTTCTCGCGGACGTGCAGGGATTGTTTAATCTTGCTTCCTTTTATCTTACGACGAGCGAATCATCGTCGCGCGGGACCTCGTATTGAAAAGGAAAAATTGCCGATGTCGATCACAGGCTCCTTTATTATTTTCCATCGTCGACCAAGAAATTCATGCCGCGGCGCCAGCGAGAGCAGCCTCTCTCTCTCTCTCTCTCTCTCTCTCTCTCTCTCTCACGCGCGCGCGCACATACATTTTCAATTTGGCCCGGTCTCCGCGCGCGCACCGAAACTCATCACAAGTTTTCCGCGAGCCGCAAGAAGGCGCTAGCACGCCGCGTACGTGTTTCCGGTAGGAGATCGAGGGCCGAGCGCACATCGTATATACGACCGAGAGCATTGTAAACGACACGGGAAGAATGAGCGTCGAGGTGGTCGTCGTCTGCTCACGTGCTTTCGGAATCGATTCGCCGAAGGAAAAAGAACGAGCCTTGAGTGGCTCGCTAAACTGGTTTCCGCCCGGATAACTCAATCGTCGCGCGGCGCTGCAGAGGCGCGCGACACGGAAAAAATGCTAAATCTATTAATCAAAGCCCGAGCAGAGTCCGCTCCGGCGCAAAGTCGCGGAGCTCGTCGGACCGCGAGCTTTCACTCGGACCGTCGGCGCGAGCTGCATCTGTTTTGTTGGCGAGCGGCCGAAGATGCGCCCCTGCGTTTGATTACGAGGGCGAGGCAGAGGAGCAGTGAGAGAGAAAGAGAGAGTGAGCCTCGAGGAGTTTTAAGCGCGGACTCTGCCGCCCTCCTGGCACCTTAAGCTGCTTACGCTTCTCTTTCCGTTTTCTTTGTCGGCCCCAGCCAAAGGCTCTCTCGTCCTTCCTTTTTTTCTCCGCGTCCTCACAGTCTCGCCGTCGTCGTCTCTGCCAGCAAAGAGTTTGTTAATGAAGATAGTTTTGCCTTTTAATTGCGCGCAGATGGCGACGGGCGGGTATTAATGAATTTTCTCTCTTTTTCCACCTTGTTCCTCCGCCCCTCGGCTTCATCAATTCCCATCATGCAATTTTCTTTGGCGGCTTTAATGACTTCGGATTAATTACTTTGCGTCTTGCACACTCCTTGATAAATAATCATCGTCGCGCGCGCGCGCGCGGCTGCGCGCGATGATAATCAATCCCGTGTCTGGCCCCACCGAGCTCTGCGTCCTCCTGTGTGTATATCGGTATAATGCCATTTGATGACGTCATTAACCCAGCCAGAGCGAGCTTATTGTTTCTCGTAAACGTCGCGCTGCCAGCACGCGCGAGCTCCGGCTCATATTCGCTTGCCGGCGAATTCATACCCACCACCCCAAGCCTTCCCGTGCTCCTCTCTAAAGCTGCCATTTTAACCTGCAGCCGAGTGGGGGGAGGGCTGACATAACTCTAGCGAGCGCTGTCGCTAACCTCGTCTGGCTTATGTCAACGTTTTCCTCTATATGGCGAGCCCAACCGGCGACCAATAAACCCGACGTAAACATATAATTAAACACGTCTAATGATCCGTACGTTAGTCCGCAGTTCGTTCATCTTGCCCTATGTGTTTCTCGTCTCACTGCGCGCTATGTGTTTAATTTTCGCTTGATATCGTACGATTGGCACGGCCATGCTCGATCACTGGCCCATCGGGCGGAAACAAAATCAGTAGTCAACTCGCGCTATGGTCAGGCATAATTCGACGACTCGGGATGGTGACTCTTTTTAATTTGGCTTTAATAAAAATTCCTCAGAATCGTAAAAAAAAGTCTCGCTTGATCAGGTCGTTAAATGAGTCAATTTCGCGAGTTACGACATATTTCTTTTTTGGAAAAAGTGCTCCCCGAATCGCGGCGACGTAAAAGAGAACTTAAATTTTTTACTGGCACTGATGTCGGCGAATGTAGATTTCCTCTCGCTCGGAAAAAGACAAGACGAGAGACATCTCGGGCCGCGGATATTGGCTAAATAGCAGCAAAAGAAGCAAGATAAAAGTGCAATAAAACGAATTCGTGCTATTTTCCGGCAGAGATCGAATAGCACACTGAAAATGAGCAATAAAGGCGTCCCTCCGAACTTCCGATTTTTAGTGTCGGCTCGTTTAAGTCTCATCCGTCAATGTGCACAGGCAATCACCATAAAAAAAATGACAACGACACGAAATAATCCATTCGTTCATAGCAGAGCAGTAGCAAAAAAAAAAAAAAAGAAAGAAAAAAATAGTACAGAGTACAGAGAAACGACGAGGAAGGTAGAATCCGGCGAGTTATCGAGGCGATCACGGGCCATTAGGCGCCCACGCGAAATGCGCGCGCCCTCGAAAACGATAAATACCCGTGAAATACGACTGCTGCGAGTACACAGCAGCAACGCCAGCAGCGAATCATTCGGAAATTATTCCTGTTGGCGATACTATGCAGCCAGTCAGCCAGCAACGTTTTCTCAGTGCTCGGCCGGAAAATGGATTGCAAGCCGCCGAATAATTCACCCAACGAGAGAGAGAGAGAGAGAGAGAGAGAGAGAGAGAGAGAGAGAGAGAGGAGAGAGAGAGAGAGAGAGAGAGAGAGAGAGATGAGAGAGAGAGAGAGAGAGAGAGAGAGAGAGAGAGAGAGAGAGAGAGAGAGAGAGAGAGAGAGAGAGAGAAGAAGAACGAACGCATTGTTAGGCAAATTTCCATCGACCAAAAACTTGTCGAGCTGTATTATTTATCAAGCAGCCAGGCTACGGGACACAATGCGCCTTTATCGGCTTCTATTCTTACTGATAAGAGCATTGTTTTCTTTTCAAACGCTGTGTGTATAGCTGATTGCAAAGATTCGTTTTGTGAACAAGCTTCGCTGCTATGATGATGGTTGTGCGAAGATCTTTTGCTAAAACAGATGCAAAAGTGATGGATTTTACGTTTTCTTTGCAAACACGCTGCAAGCACTTGTAAAAATAAATTGCGAATTATTTTGGAATCCGAATTTTTTGTCAATCAAGCCAAAAGATATAAAATTGGAGGTTCATTTTGTACATTGCGTTGGCAGCAAATTCGAACCGCAGAATTTAATCGTCGCAAATGTTTGACGAAAGACTTTTGTTGATGTTACAGGAGAGCCCATCTCAGAAACTGCCTGGAAAAGCTGAAAGTGCTGGTGCCTCTAGGTCCAGAAACGTCAAGGCACACCACGCTCGGCCTTCTGACTAAGGCTAAGCGTTTTATCAAGGTAAATCTCGAATATTATACGTCTAGCTCGCAAGCTCCATTGAATCTCGACGAATCTCGTCAATGTCGTGATCTCGATAGCGTCGAGTCCGAATTTAAATTTGATAGGTTCGCACATGTGCGCGCACAAGGTCCCATCTCTCTGCCATTGAAAATAAAGAAATAAAAAGAAAAAAGATTTTTTGCAATAAAGCGTACTGTTATTCGCATTTCTTTGAATGCGTCTGTATCCGTGGTCGCGCTGTGCTGGTGAATCGAGAAGGATTTGTCCATTTAATTCCGCACATCGTCGATGCTACCGGTTCTCTCGCTCGCTCTTTTGTGTGTCTCGAATAAATCATTCCTACTCTTTCCGTTCTTTTCTTTGTACATCATTTATGTGGACGAATTCATTTCTGAATTATTCACGGTTAAAACCTTCATTACAGCTGCTAAAGCTGGTAACACTCTGCGTGGGATGGTTTTTGTCTATCCTCAAACGTCAATTTGAGAAGGATTTGTTATTTTTTGATCGCGTACGGTCGGTTGCCACGGCAACTCTGTATATTAAAGATTAGGAAATCGAGAAAAAGTTGGGGGCAAGGCGGAGTGCAAAAAGGGAGAAAGGATGAAGAGCGCGGAAGTTGGGTGTGTGTGTGAAAAGAGATAAGAAACGAGCGCGCGAGCCGATAAAAAGCTGGAGATAAGTTGTAGAATCATTCAATTACTTAGAGTTTTCGCTGAAACTACCTCGGAAATTACTTTTACATATTCTTAGATGCACTCACTCCAATAGCTACCTCTTCGCTTTTTCTGCTCCTTGCCGAGTTAGAGAATCGTACTGCATCTCTCTTGCTGAAGCGAACAGGAGTATTTTAAAGCTTTTCGCCTTTCAACGAATTGAAATCACTTGACTCATCTTCGAATTTTTTTTACCTCGCGCACGTACGTAGCACGCGCACAAAAGAGAAGAGTGCTAAAGTCCATTAACACCATCCGTTGAAAAGAAAAAAGAAAAGGAAGGGAAAAAAAGAGATCATGGCAGATACAACCTGCATATTTCATGCCGCTTCCGCGAAGAGGAGGAAGGTTCGAGGGACCACTGGAAAGCGACTAATTAGCTGCGAGAGAGAGAGAGAGAGAGAGCTACGCCGGAAGAGATGTGCCCTTGTATTTCTTCCGCGGACGAAAGAATTGTGGGAGATCCTCGTGTCAAATGCGACTATCTTGTAAATCCTCCAAATCTACATTCTTTTTTTCAAGTCGCTCAAGTTGTTCCTTCTCGCGCCCTTTAAATGCGTTCTATATATATCCCACTCTTATTTCTACCTCGGGCGCGCCAAGTGAAAAATGTACGGGGCGTTTTTCTTCGGCTCCCTCAGCTTTTCAATCTTCGTAGCTGCTTTATTTTTTCTTTTCCCCAATTTGCGCGCAAAAGCTACGGTAGCGCGGCGGATTCCGCGATATAGCGCACTTTGGACGTTGTAGGCCGACGCTGTAATTGGATGTAAGCCACTGAAACATTAAGATCTCCATTAGGTGATAAGTTGAATCCTTAAGAGGGTGCAAGGGCGAGGATGGTAATTGGATGAGTTTTGATCGAGCTTTGAAGCCCTGATCTTGAATAATGTCGTCCTTGGTCGCTTGATGATCGATGCAGGTTGATGTGAAATTTCGAAGCAACGAGTTAATTATCGGGTGGCGGTTCTGAAATTGCGGCGTGCGCAATCGAACTGGAAGCGTTGGACCAACGAGGTGTTAAGGATTGTCGAAAAAGGCACTGGTTTGGAAAGGCGAGCGGCGAGACAGTCCGCATACAGAGCAGAGGAGAGTCCCCGCAGTCATATATTTTTAACGAGCGTCGTCGCGTTCGTTGTCCAGCAGCGACGACGGTGCCGGAACTAGAGGTTTTGACCGGCTAGGCAATAAACAACATTAAGTATTGCTTTTATAGTCGCGGGGAGTCCTCTCGGATCGCAAATAAACTCACCGCGACGACGCACAAAGACCCCTGGGGTCCCGTGCCTCTCGCTCTCCCCACTCTCTAGTTCTGCATTTGCTTGACTCGCGCGCGCTCCAAAGACAGAGTTATCGTTGCATCCTCCGTCATCCGTTCAACTTTCATGAGCGCCCACGTCTCGCGCTTAAGCAGGCCACGGCGGCCGCGCAAAGAATGGCCGAAAGACGTCTTGACAATTGACGCGCGACGAACGCGCCGCCCGCCGTGCAACGCTCATCACTTTGGCGCTCGCAATCTTTCAAAAATTTTGCCTCCTCGTCGCGCTCCCGAAAATGAAATTCCGCTGAAGCGCGAGGAAGCTTCGCGCCGAGCTGCCTCTCCGACGCGCCCGCTCGCTTTTGTATCCCGCGCGCCCAGCGTTTCTTCACTTTGCTTCTTCCGTCGAGAGAAAAAAAGTAATCGCAACTACCGCGCAATATTCATTACCTAATGCACCACACGCCGTGCCCCCTCCTCCTCTCGCGGCCTGATGCGCCGAAAGCTTTCTATTGTTGCTTCTCTCGCTCCTTCCATGCTTTTAATCAACGATGCGCGCCGGGCAAGAAGATTTCATTCCAAGATGAATGTAGAGAAATACGAGGCTGACGTGAATCGAAATTGATTGCGTGCGCGTGTTCGTTCAATGGACTATTTTCCATTTACGGCTTATATTATACTGATCGTCTTTTATAGCTTCGTGCCGGAATCAATTCGCTCGACAGGCTCCGCGCAGGATTTAGATCTAACGCTCGCGCTCGCGTCAATGTGTGCCGACTGCATTTCTGGATTCGGGACGCCGGAGACCCAATTCTAGGAAAACAAGGAAAGAGCGCGCGATGGATTATGCGTCTTTGCCGCCTCTCAGCCGTGCGAGCGAGTCGTCGCGCTCTTTGACTGCCTGCCTCGGCTTCGCGACGCCGCGGCACCAGAAGTAAGCCGAGACTTTGAGGGAGTGAGAGGCGTTACGCGAGGCAATGCTAAAAACGAAAGCTAAACCGATTTGCGCCGGCTGCGCGCGCGTGTCGTGGTTTCGTCGCGGCGCCCGCCAGGAGCTTCCGAGAGTTCGGCGATTCCGCGACCACGACTCGACCAATTAGTTTGCCGCGCGCTCTCTCTCTCTCTCGCCAACTCGAAGCAACAAGCAACTTTTAGGTCAATTCAGCATTGAGCAAAGCGCCCGCTTTCCCGCAAGCCGTATACACTCTCTCTCTCTCTCTTGCGTGCTCAGTCTCTTCGTCTTAATTGCCGTGTTTACAATTGCGGATTGCGCGGACGTGGGAACGCGTCTGCGAATGTTTTTTTATCCAGCCGACTAATTGGCAAGAGATCGCGGTGCTCGCGCGCCAGGCCGCGGGGATGGTGTGTAGCCTGCAGCGCGTTATTGATAAAGCGTCCCGCGGGGAGGGGGGAGGCTTGTCAATACTGCGGCCCGCGGCGGCGTGAACGCGTCGACGCGCGCGCGCAACTCTCTTTGTTCGCCTCGCTGTGACCGTCTTTGGGCGTGACGTAATCTGCTCTCGTCGCGCGAGCATGACGTGGTAGCGCGACGCGTGCGCGCTGCTGCCCTCCAGCAGCCGCGCGCATTTGTCACGGCTGTCGGCGCGATTTGACCTGTCCTCATCGCTGATTTCAGGGAAAACGAAGAAAATGCCGCGTGATATTTCGCTTCGGGTGGCCGACGGTCGGAGCGCCGGAATCCTCGCCGCGCTCGGATGACCATTCAAATATGCAAAAGCTCGGCGTACCGGAAGAGGGAGAGTAGGTCAAAGCTCGTCGTTCGATTTAACGAGGGAGACGTTTCACGACGACTCGCTAGCGGTAACGTTAAGCCTCGAGTTGCCGGTTCTTCGTCCGGGAAAAGTACCACGCGGTTCTTTTCGGATTTGCGTTGCCCAGAAAATATGAGCCCTGTTGGTCTCGGAAGATCGAGCTTGAATGTCTGCCATCTTGGCCTCGGCAATGCGAGGCTTTGTGCGCGATGTGCCTTTCCGAAAAAGCTATTGCTTGCCTTGGCGGGGCCAGTCTGCAGTTAAGCGAACCTGTCAAATGATCGGACGATCAGGGAGCGCAGTCGCAGTCGACTTAGCTTTTCAGGTTTTCATTCGCGTAACACTTCCGCAAATTACGTTCAATCGGAGCCAAGCGAAAGCCCAATATTCACGCGGCCGAGTGTCGCGCATATTCTGCCAATTTTTCGCGAAGAACTAAAAATAGTTGAGGCAACGTTGCTTTCGAAAAGGTAGATGCACTGTAAAGCGAAGGGTTAAGGTCGATCGATAAGCCGAGGCGCGCCGAAGTTGATACTTTCGATTAAGCTCTGCTGCCCGGCCGAGAGAGAAAGAGAGCATGACGGGAGATAGGAAATGGAGAAACGGCAGAGAGAAAGTGGCGCGAGGTAGACTGGCATTTACGGATGATATGACGTTAGGTAGCGGCAGCGGGGAGAAATTGTTAGATAAACGCTGCTGCCGGCTTTTCGAGCGAGAGGACAAGTAAATGGACGACGGGCTTTTTAAGAAACGAACGCCGAGCGGCGTAGCAGTTTGCGATTTTTCTCCTCGATACGTATGGCGCAAGAAAAAAAAAAAAAAAAAAAAACAGAAAGAAAAAGGCGAACAAGTTTTTTCTGCTCGAGGCAGAGCCTAGGGCTTAACTTTTAGTATCGACGCAGGCAAACTTTACGACTAAGGACTCTGAGAGTCGCTCGGTTTAATACCCTTATCTACGTTGTAAACTCATATCGCAGCGACTACCGCCGAGTCCCTCAGCCCAGCGCAGCTTCTTAACGAGTCGTCACTTCTCTGGCTTCCTCGTCACACTTCCACTCCTTTCTGTCCTTTTGTTTGGCACGTCGCATCTTTGATCGCCGAGCGCGCACTCGGTGACGGCGAAAACTCCGTGTCAAAAGATATACATTGCCCGCATCGATTCCAAATTAGCAACTTTCTGCGATACAGTAAATTCCATCCGAAGTATTTTAGCGGCGACCGGCCGCGGAGAAGAAATCGACTCGTACGGCTCTTTCTCTCGACTCACCGTGCCAACAATTGGCTCTCGTCGTCCTCGTTGACGGCCTATCTCGATCGTTTCAACTTTGTGTGAGCTCTGTCTCTCTCTCTCTCTCTCTCTCTCTCTCTCTCTCTCTCTCTCTCTCTCTCTCTCTCGAGGAGAAGAAGAAGAAGAAGAAGAAGAAGAAGAAGAAGAAGAAAGTCGTGTTCGATTTATCAAAGATAAGGCGCGCCAAGAGATCATACCCGAGCCATATTTTCGCCAAAGCGATATTTTTATGAGAGAAGGAGGGGGATATTTATGTGGGTTAGCGCTGTGGCATTGTTGCGCGTGTGTGTCCCTTCCTTTTTTATGCGTCGTCAGCGCTTTTTGCCCGCGCGGCTTGACTTTCTTATCTCTGTTTACGGTTAAACACAAGTGCATGTTGTTGTGAACTATGGCCTGGAAAGATAAATGCGGCGGCGAGGCGAGGGAATGGTTTAATTAAGAATTTATGAAATATGTATGTACTTTTGTCTTATACGATGCTTATTGCACTACAGAATTATTATTCTTTGCTATCTGATTGACCACCGCACTCCTCTTGGACACTGAAAAATTATTGAACGTCACTGTTCTCGTCTTCATCAACACACCGGGAATTTTTCGTTGTATCACGTTTCTCATTTGCAGTGAAAATATTTTTTAAGATTAGCGCAACTGTCATAGCTTAAAAAGCGAATGTCTTGTTTCGACGCTAGTTTTTCATTGGACAGCACGCTGTTCTCATTTCTAATGAGCCTTCGTGAACGAAGATCTCTCGTTCTAAGGTTTTTTTCTTCTCTTGGTGCATAGTTCAGTGAAAATATACAAGCTTGAAAGCCCAGCATCGCGGTATCCTAATGCAAGTCCCCTTTGAGAGTTGTCTTTTCTCTCTCGCTTTGACCGAGTGAATTGGCGCTGAAATGACACGTTACCGTTGCGCGTGTAAGCCACACGCATGTCCCTTTGAAAAAGCAGCATATAGAGCTGCGTTGCGCGCGAAAACCCGTTAATGTTACCGGAAGACACACAGACCCAGACTTAAATTTCGAGTCATAGCGACAAATGAAGACTCGACTGGAAACTCAATTAGTACGAGGACGAGGTGACTGCCGCGCAACGCCGCGTCCGCGTAATTAGTGCGTTTGTAGCCCTCTCTAATCTCTATTTTTTCGCTTAAATTCCTAAAAATCCGCCTCGCCACCGATCAGAGGCGCCGCCTCTCTTCTATTTGGTCTGGCGCGCGCGCTCCTCCAACTTTTTAAGCGCGGTTTTGGCTCTTTAATTCTGTACCGCTCGCCTAAGCGACCATACTTTTCTCTCTTTGTCCGGGCCGATCCCGTGTACTTTCTCTCTTCGTTTTTTTACCTTATTTAGAGTAATTTCCTCTGTTAACTTTTGCGCTGGCGTACAAAAGTTTCGAGCGCGTGGAATGCCCGTAAAGTAGAGCTTTTTTGGGACGGCAGGAGGGTTGCGGACTAGTCGCTACTCACGAGACAAATTGCCAATGAGGATGGGATAAAGTGTGTAAGCTCTTCGTTTTTTCTTTCTAAAAATTCAAAATGTTTAGCGAATTTTGTTTTTTTGTTTTTTTGTTTTTTTTTTCTAACGACGGGATACCAAGTTTGAAGTTCTTTAAAAAACGTAATATCGCAGCATCGGAAACGTTATAACTCTCTCATCAAAGGCAGAATCTCGTATAAAAAGTGGGCGTGCCATTGCAAGGACACTTTGTTGCGTCATGCAGCTTGTTCCTCAAGGCATATTGCACCGGAGTTTGAAAAAGGATATGAGAGACGCTTCTGAAAATTGCATTTGGGAAAAGGGAGTAAGCCACTCTACAGAAAATTGTGCACCTCCTTCCGGCAGACAAATACTCGGCGTGTGTTTGAAGACCACGTGTTTTAACAGGGTTGCCATTTCACTGGAGTTGGCGGCCGAAAAAGCTTTGCGATCGAAAAGAGTTCGACAAAGTTCTTTCTGCCGCCGACAAGACGTCGATCGATCAAGTCTTATCGCGCCGCCCAACACTTCGGCGCAATCGCGCTTGATGCATTTGGCGGGGAACAAATAGATTGGCGCGCTGAATATGATCGCTCGGTCGTTTCGCCGAAATGCACGTGGGTCGAGAGTGTGCGGATCGCATTTGCAGAACGCGATGGCTTCCCTCGCGAGCTGCAGGAATAATTGAGTGCAATAATGGTGTGCGAAGGGGAAAAGAGATTCGTTTGGCTTGACACAAAACGTACATTAGCGCTCGAACGTCCACCAGAGTATTAAAAATATCCACCTATATGAAATTCTTCGGGCACACTCCTATGTAACCCTTTTTCACTATAATAGTTTGCGCACACGCGACGCGTAATTTTCCAAGCGGACGTAATTCCGTTTGCTTCGTAAAGTTCAAACGAGCGCTCGCTTGCTCTTTCGTGCTTTTTTCGATGGAGAAGCCAAGCGAAACCAGCGACGAGTGCATCGCGCACCTCCTACGTTAACAATGTTCGAAGGTCGAGTTACCGAGTCGTTTGCTTTTAGGACGAGCTTGCGTGAGCGATGAAAATTCATTACTTAAAACGATGAGTTTTCAAGGTTGCTCCTGGTGCAAATGTAATTCAGAAAAACTTTCGCTTTTACAATCTAACACCAAAAGTGTTTTTAAAATAAAAGAGGTCCTTTGTTTCTCATTTGTAGCTGAGCTTATAATACTTTAGTAATTCACTTCGTCCAGTCGAATGATACTTACTTAAAAAGCTATTGAAAATAGTTTTAATTTTTTTTAATACAGAAAACGCCACAATATGAGAACTTAAAAGTGCTTTAAAAAATGCTGCCAAATATTTCATCTTTCTCAACTCCCTATAGAATCATCCCGATTACGATCGGAGGAGAATTTCAGTTTCATCGCCTCGCCCGTCAAATAAACTCACATCAAGCCGTATATATGCGTATTTGCATGTGGCGTACAAAAAAATATGCTTTCCAATGTGCCGGCCGGAGCGCCTATTTCTGCATTTGCCTGTTTACATCTACTCTGCGCTCAAGCAAGAACGCAGATCGAGAAAACTCTCTTCGAAGGATCTCGGAACATGTAGAAAAAAAAACAAAAGAAAGAAGTTTAATCAGCTCGAAGAAATTTCCTCTCTCTGGCATCGCGGCGCGGCGGTCGAATAATTGAATTGGGAATGGAGTTTCCGCGTCGCGTGTCTGCGTATATTTGTTTTCGGTCGAATATTCCTTTCGGCATGCGTTGCGCGTTTCGAAAAAAAGGAAAATAAAATTTGCTCGTGCACGCGCGAGAGAGGAATTTTTTTTGTTTTAACGAACAAAGTTGAAAAAAAGGAAAACCATCTAGATCGGAGCTTCAAAAGAAAAAAGAAAGTTTGTTGTTAACGTTCGGTTACAGGAATCGATTCGCAGGCTCGCAACTTTTTAGGAATTTCCTCTTCACTTGGCTGCATTCGAGCCACATATATGACGGAAAGAGTTTTACATGCCGAGATTGCAAATACAAAGTTGTGCTGCGCTCGGCAATGAACTAAAGTCTGGACAAGGATAAACGATCGCAGCTCCAATCTGATTTCCTGTTGACGAGAGCGCATAAATTTTGCCTCGTCGTTCGCGCGCAATTACAGAGCCGATTGGCAAATAAAAATGTATATCGGGCTGCATTAAAGCGAGACAATCGTCGTGTTCTCATTGTCTCTTCTGTCAGGTCGGCGTTACGAAATGGTTCGCCAAGCGACACAAAGGAAACCAATTATCGGTCCTCCCTCCCAGCAATTACCGATCAAAGTCCGAGAGAATACGCCCGGCAGGCGTCGGGTTCAGCGCTCTTTCTTGCGCGTCGCGGCGAGCTCTCCGCGCCGTCGGGCCCAGCCGAGCGGAACTGCGAGCGGGACGAGCGCGGCGCGGGCGAAAGCGCAGTCGGCCGACGGCAGAGTGACTAAAGAGAGGCGCGCTGTTCTGTTGCAGAGCCTGGAGGAGCGCGACAGGAAGCACTCGACGCAAAAGGAGCAGCTGTCGCGGGAGCAGAGGTTCCTGAGGCGCAGGCTCGAGCAGCTGACGGGCGGCCACCACGCGCACCACCACGGCGGCCACGGCCTGAGCATGAGCGCGCCCACGGGCAGTTGCCACGCGAGCCAGGTCGTGAGCGCCTCGACGGCGGCGCTGCTCTCCAAGAGGCGCAGCGTGTCCGAGTGCTCGGTCGGCACGGCCTCGTCCACCGGCAGCTCCAGGAACTCCGACAGGGGCACTGCGGGCAGTCCCTCCGTCTCGGAATCCGGTAAGTCTGGCAAGCTCCCGGCGCTGACTAGGCGCGGACCGATAAACGAGCGACCGCGCGGGAGCGCCCGGAGGGCCACTTGGCGAAAGTCAGCTCGCCGGCGCTGCGGGCAAACTGCTCCAGCAAGCCGCGCGCTCTTATCGTCACGCCGCCCGGCCATAACGGCAAACTTTGCGACGGCGCCCTCTCGCTCCTCCTCCGGGCTTATGATCCGGGCTGGCCGCGCACGTTTTCTCCTCGCTGCCTTCTTTGCGCCTCCAAATTGACCGGCTTGCTCGGCGGACAACGGGCTCTGACGAGCCGCGCTCCTCCCAGATAAACATCGGCCGGAGTCGCAGCGCAATATTTGGAAAGCTCGAAAGCTCGGAAGCTCGGTGCGCAGGGGCGGAAGGCGCGATCGATCGCGCGAGCGCCTCTATCTCTGCGCGTTAGTATTACACCCGTTCCGGTGCTAAGGCTAAATCGCTGCGGGAGCGGCGAGGGGGGCGCGTGACGCGGAGGAAGTCGATCGAGACTCAATCGAGTGAGATACCAATCTGGGCAGAAGCCGATGATGTCGCCTGCCTGCGTTCGAGGCGAAAATTCAAATTCCCCACGATTCCGCCTTATCCCCTGCCTATACAACCAGCCGCACCAGCCGACCCCCTTCGATATTCCGCTCTCCCTTTTCTGCGCCTTATCCTCCTCTGTCCTCGTCGCCGATGCTGCCTGCCTGCTTGCGTATTTTGTTTGTCCCGATCGCCCGTCGATTTGCATTTGTCGACGCGGCCGAGAGAGTTGATTGAAAGAAAAAGCGCCGAGAACGCGAGACGCCCGGCACGACCTCTATCACGCCACTCCGGCGTGCTCCTACTCCCGTTCAATTCTCGCGTGCGCGCGGCTCGCAGATCGATAAATAGCCGTCGTGGTCGCTCGGCTTTTATCGCATAATTACCAATCTAGGAAAGGATTGCCGTCGGCCCGCAAGGCTAAAGCTCGCGCCAACTGACTCGACGGTTTTTGCCGTAATTCCGCAGGCGTGACGCGCTAAAAACATCAGCGTTTTTCCTGGCGACCTCGCGCTCGCGCGGCAAAATGAAAAAAACCAACAGCAAAAAAATAAAAGACAAAACAAAAAGACAACTGCTCCCCGATAAAACGGCCAACGGATTACGTGTCCGGCAAAGTCGCAGTCTCTCTTCGTATCGCGCCGCGATCTCATTTCTTTTGACAATGGCCGCTGCGCGCACGCGATAAACTCGCGTGACGCTATAAAAGAAACAACAATGACGGTGCAAGGTAAACAATGGCTGCTTGGCTCTTTTATTTTTTTCATTCAAAGACAATGAGAAGATTCATTGAACGGGAGTAAACAAACGTCGTGGAATTTTCGAGGCTTGTAATTTCTGTTTGTACTACGATTAGGATGTATTCGCTGCGTTATTAGCACGCTCTATGCGCGCTCGTCGTACCTCCTGCTCGTTGCCAGCCTGCGCCTGGCGCAAATTCAAGTTCTCTAAGCAAACGATAGGAACAACGCGACGAATGCAGCCTATAATGCACTGATCACGCGTATTGTTAAATTGCAAGTACTTTGGGCATCAAGAGTTTTGAGTGAATCTCGAAAAATATCCGAAGTAGCTAAAAAGCCTTTTAATGTTTCGCTAAAGCGCATTCGGAAAGAGGAGAGCGGTATTGCATCGAAATCATTAATACTTCAGAGACCTTTGGTTCAATTTTTTTCGATCACACCCTGCCGGTCGCTATAATGAAAGCCCGGAAAAAAAAGAGAGCGATGACTCAAAGTGCACTCTGCGACCGTAACATTAAATAATAACACGCGGGAGGACAGCTGCGTCACGCAAGCCTTCGCAATTGCATTACGTGCAGCGACGCGTTTGCTTTTTCACGCGCGACGACGGCTATTTGAAAAGTTGTCGCCCGCGCTTTAATTTACTTCGCTCTCTTTGTCGATGGAAAGTTCATGATAATTTTGCAATTATACTGCGCTCGAGAGCATACGAAAAAAAGTGCCCGCGTCAGCAGTCTTATTTTTGGCCTCGAAAAGCGAAAAATTGTCGCAAACCGTACGAGCGTGAGTTGGCTTACGGGTCGTGAGCGTAAACGTCGCGTGCGATCCCACGGGAAATCGAATACGAATTAGAGCGCGTAATCGAGAGACAAGCGAGGGTGGCGTTGTTCGCGAAAGCCGAGAGAGACAGACAGCGACAGCAGAGGCGAGTTTATCGTTATGATAGGAGGGGGTAGAGCTCTACGATGTGGCACTTGGTCGTCATCGTTGTGCCTGCAAAACCCGCGAGTTCATTGTTATTATTTTGACAATTGAACACTCCAGACCTTCTTGTTAGCGTGTTAATCATAATGAACGCTCGCGCAAACTTTGCCACGACAAGCTTTATACCGTGGACACGCTCGGCCTCGCCTTGCTGGAGTTGGCTCTCGAACGAGCAAAATTATGATTTAATTGACAATCGCCCGCGGCGAGCTGCTTTATGCATCCTCGAAAATGCTATTCGGAGGGATAGATATCGGCTCGAAATTCCGCAAAGCAACGAATCCTTTCAGGCGATGTATATAGCCCAAAGCTCGCGCATGGCACACGTTGCACGCGCTCGATCGGCCAAACGAATCGCCGTAGGAGAGGCGGGAGAGAGACGGGGGGTACCAGCGAGTGCAAGCTCAATTCGGACCTGTACCTATTTGCTCGTCCACGGTTCATTTCTTTAATTGCATTCTGTCTTTGTTTCAATGAATAGTCGCTCGGCGAGATTTAAATTGGAGCGCGCACATAGAGAGAGAGATAGAGAGAATGAGGGGGGGGGGGGCGATAATGGAACATTAATTGAATTGATGGATGCTCGCGGTTATTGCAAAAAGAGCGGCGGGAAAATTGCAGCTGTTTGAATAAAACAAGAAAGGGGGCGAAATAAGCTAGGGAGCAGTGCCGAGGCAGTGTCCAGCATTTCCGGATGGACGCTCGTTCTAAGGCGGCAGCGGCGGCATTTCTGCCATTCCAGCCACACAGAGGGGTCTTTCTCTCACTGCATGCAATTGCGGCGCCGAACCCGACGAACTTGGAATGCCGGCAATCCTCGCCGAAAAGTGCGCGTTCCTCTCAACTGGAAATTACAATTGAATTGTTCGGCAACTAAACCAATGTGTGTGTGCGCGCGCGTACTCGCAATCGTCGGGTTGGATTATAAAGTCATTAGACGATTGGCTGGGTAGAATCGTCGGACCGCAGACTAGAGAGAGAGAGAGAGAGAGAGAGAGAGAGAGAGAGAGAGAGAGAGAGCTGAGCTTCCGGCACTGATTCCACTTCGTAATGAAGAGCCTTAGCCTTTGTTTCGCCCGGTTGCTGCGAGGATTGTCTCTACTATGCTCAGACAGCTGGCATTGATTTTCTATAGCTGAATTTTGCTGATATCGGACTAGCCAATGTTTTTTTATATTTGCGGCAGTTGATCAAGTTTCAGCAACGAAGACCTATTACATTATAAATGCTTGCGAAGCACAGTGCGGCAATCCGAAAAGGAAATGGTAAAAAATTCATACGATCCTCTGTAAAATAAGACGAGTAGACGTAAAGTACAATTGAACGTTATTAAATTTGCCAACACATCTCACAATGCATCTCACTCGGCAAAGTGCTCGTATGCCATCTCATCGATTCTTCGTCAAAATCAAAATAGCTCCGTTGCCAAAGTTTCCGGTAGTAAGAACCATCTTAGTCGGGCGCACGTCAAAAAACCAACAGTCAATTACTCGCGATCGTTTCGGAGCGAAGCGAAGAAAGAAAAGTAGGTGGTTGCTGCGGGAGAACATAGCCCGCGGGATAAAAGAACGTCTCGCATGTGTAGGCAGCGAACAAGAAGAAGTTTGACGTAGCGCCAAAGTTCGGATGATAAAGCCTGCCGCCCGCGGGAAAGTTTTCGTCGGTATAAAATAATTTGGCGTGCGTGCGCCGAGAGGTAATTCGAGGTTTATGCCCGAGGCTGTATATCTCGACGACGCGAGCCCACGGGAGGAGAGGGGAGGGGCGCGCTGGAGGCCAACTTTCGCTCGCGCTGTCAGTTCGTCTTAGATGCCGCCGCGCATGATTGCGTGCATTATGAAATTATTACCCGCGCAAAACGCAATCGCGCAGTCTCGCCGCTCGAACTTGATTCGGAAATATCTTGACACAACTCGCTGCTCCAACTTGCCGCCGCGTCGCGCGAGTCTGTTTTCCGCGCTTTCTTTTCCGTCGCTATTGTTGTACCAGCCGCGCCCTGATTCTTTTCTACAGCCCCCGCGGCGCCGTTGCCGTGCAATTAGTTTTCCGTGGAATTTCCTTCTCTCCGCCGACGCACTCGATACGTGCAAATGAAAAGTGTTGCACGGCGGGTCAGCGAGCAGGTGTTGCCTGATTCGGCAGCTTTCCAAAGTAGACGTCTTTAGGGTGCCTGAGAAAAAGGCATATGTAACGGCGTGCACGAGCAAGGCATTAGAATCCTTGGAGAATTTCCGATCAAGTCGTATTGGAGAGGAAGAGCGAGGAGGGCAGGGTATAAGCTCAGTCAGCCCTGCCAGCACTTAATTAAGTCGCTAACGAGGGCCCGACACGAGGACTCTATCTCCCTCTCTCTCTCCGGCTGGCTCGCTTGCGAGGAAAGGCGACCTGGCGACCTTATCAACGCGAAGCACTTACACGCCCGACCGAGTATCCGCCTCAGTGACAGACACACTCTCACGCGCGCCGCGGAGCTTTGAGTTGGGAGCTTCCTAATTGAGCTGCGAGCGGCTATCGCGCGTGCTAGAGCAAATCTCTTCTCTATGCAACAGCCTCAAAGTAACGTATCGACAATTCCTGGAAACGAGTCTAGCGATGGGATTAGAAAGCTTCTTTTATCGGCTCAGCAGTGTCGTGTGCCCGTAACAATACAACGGAAGAGAAAAGCGTGCACGAGACAAATTCGCTTAGTCACAGAGATACCAACTGATCATGTTAGAAGGGGCAG